TATATGTATATATATACTCAAGTGATATTCAAATTACCTAAAACCAAAGCAAGCTAGAAAGGATTTCGGTACGGATATACATATATATATATATAAATAATAATATTAATAATAATAATAATTAAAAAAAGTACTGAAACCCCGTACGCGGTGACAACACGTTTTTGTGTTTTCCTTTTTCATTTATCTTTTCTTTTCTAGCTAAATATTCGAGTCTTTAGCGTTCGCGGCAAGCTCACTTTACCGGACATATAATACAATAATTAATATATATAACAATAATTGAATCCGTGATCGATGGTTAGAGATATTTTTTAATTTTAATTAGGTAGAAAAGAAAAGAGAGTCGCGTGAACGTACAGTGAGGGTGGGACGTACTTTTAAACAATTTGCGTGCGGATTTAAGCATTTATACCGAGAATACCATGAAACGGATCTATGGGTAAAAGAAAAATATTTATGAATGAACAAATTAGAAAAATGAAAAAAGGAACACACACACGTACACACAGACACGTTGCTTGTTATATAAAACAAAGGAAACAAACAAAAAAAGAATTATTTTCTCAACGTAACGTATAAGCACCGATAAAAAGGGAAAAGTAACAAAGCGTAACGCGTCATATACAGTAATGATAATTATGTAGAGAGCGAATCGTAAGTATATTATTACGTATAACAGCCATTGATAATATATAATACGGAGGAAAAACGATGAAAAATATACGCATATACACTCTCTTTTGGAATTGCTTAGAGTATGGTGTTAGGAAACTAATGGGTCGATTTTCGCGTATCCTATTTTCGTTTATTTAAACGCAGGGTATCTACGAAATGAGTACAATTAAAAAAACGGTGCATCTCAATGAAAAATTCAGTAAAAGATTGTAGGATGATATTTTTATCTGATCTTCGATTCTATTGAATCAATTACATTCAGGTTCTCGTATACGTGCTCAGTGATCTCATTTATGTTTTATATTTTAATTTTTAATAAGTAACCGATCAATTAATGAATATGTATAGATATAAATTTAACTGCTGATAAGACTAACATTTATTAAATCGATCGATGAAACCTACTCCTTTAAGTATTTAGTTGGGTAATTATAATTGTTAAAAAAAAATGCATTTGTCAGAAATTTGCAATCAAGTTCCTTCGAGTTGGATCTCAATAAAGAATACTTTAACTATGTACTCGGTATGATATTCGTAATGAGTATGATTAACTTATTAAAAGAAATGTATCGTTCTGCAATCTCAATTCTGATTTTTTCATACGGATCCCGTTTTCCATGATTTACTACAAAAATTTGAAGATACTCTGTGTGCACGCTCGTATTAAAAAGCTCGCATTTAAAATACAAAGTAAAAAGGAACTGCTGTGTATCGTATACTGTGCAAACAAAATGTTGCAATATTTTAACTGAGCATTACTCCACGATCGTAAGACCTTTTTATCGATTTGAGAAAACTGTTTCCATGTTGCAACTGGATGGGGTGCTAGCTAGTGCGAAGGTAAAATTATATGATGGTGTACACAGTGAAAGGCAAAAGTAGCCTCTTTTTTCTTAAATCGCGACCTTTAGTTAATTTCACGAGGACTTTTGTCTCTGACCGTGTTCCTGCTGAACTAAGAATCTCTCTAATTGAAAGTTTTAATAGTTTGATAATTGCTAACGCGTTCACTGCCATAGTTTCCATTAATTATTCCAAGAGATTTTAAAAACCGTTTGATAAAACTTTTATAAACGTTATGTTTCATATTTTTAGAATTCATTGACCTGTTTCACATTAAATTTTCGTGTAACTCTTCTTAGATTTATTAACGATTTGATTACGTATCTCGATTAGTTGAGTTTGCATAAAAATTTCATCTATCAAGCATGGCAGTTAACGAGTTATTCAATCGCATTCAATTGAATATTTTAGTTAATACCATGACATCAAATTGTTAAATTCTTTTTTATACTCGTATACCTAGATTTACGTTCTATTTTTATACATATATGTGGGTGAGTGTGCTTTGTCTGTGAAACAGATATTCATTTCTTATTAAATAACGATTAGTATCAAAGAGGTCACATTCCCTTTTGCAAACGATTTGGAATGGATGTGTCACGCGTGTACAGTGGCTACTTAAAAGTGTTGGCAATATAAAATTTTTGTTTAACGTTTAATAAAAAGGAACAATCCCTTTAGTTAGCCACTGTTTAATTAGGGACGAAATACTGAAAATGAAGAAATTGTTAAAATTGTTTACTCTACGTTGAGATTCAGAATCGAAATTCTATCGTACATAAAGTAACAGTGCAATTTTTATATTAAAAATGTTTTAGATCATCGCCAATGTTATTGCATTCAATCATCGTTTCTCGGGTGATTTATCTGGTTGACATAATTATTGTTTATTTCGAACGTTTATTATTATTACTGTAATGAAGCAGCAAACATCCAGTTTCGTACGGAAGGCTCTGAAAGGTGCTTCGGCTTCAATATTAATAAACTGCCATGTTCCATTGTCTCATCCGAACAGTTGTAATCATTATACAAGAGGACTAATTGGCTAAACGTTGAAACGTTTTTATGGCAGTTGGATCTGATTGACTAATATTGTCACAACACACCCTGTATTCACTGTATTAATGCAGTTTATATTATATTTACGATGCAATGACAATATTATCAAAACGCTGTGATCAGCCAATGACGTGTTTTGTCATTAGAAATGATGGAAAAAAGCAGCGACTTTATTGCAAAGCAAAGATTTATTTATTGTATACATAATTTAAACGGTACAGAAAAATAGCTTTTATAAAATGCAAATTTGCATAACTGGATTAATAATTTATTGATCAGTTGAAGTTAAACAGAGTTTGTGATGAAACTTGAGTTGTGTGTGTAATTTTTTGAAAAGAACACGAAGAACGGATCTAATAAGCGTAAAGTGTGGCCTAATAATTTTAAGATTTAATTTATAGACGGAAAGGCAAGTAATATAAAAACTATCTACAATTTTCAGTAGTACTCCTTTTAGGAACGATTTGCGTATAATTTCAGTTTTAATCAACAGATTCGACTGCTATGCTCTAAAATTGTGAATCTCGCATTATTACAATAAGTCTCATTGGTGAAACAAGAACGAAAGGAACGCAAAATGAAGATTATACAATCGAGATTATAACGAAACTATTTGATTTGCTTGTTTATTTTATTAATTACACCCGTATCCGCGTAATCGAGACAATTAACACCAAAGCGTAAGGACAAGTTGACATAAATTTGCAGTGGCCCATTTCGTTGTCACCAATGATATTACCCAGTACTTTCTCTCAGAAAGGAAAAGAAATAAGAAAAGACAAGAATATTCTATATTTTAAATATTGTATAATTACTGAACAGGAAAAGAAGAACTATACTATAAATAATATTTCCATTTTAGAGTAATACACCACGATTGCTGCTGTCAGGGTAACGACTAGACCGCGGATTTCTATGCGAGAGTAATTCTTTTCATAGACGAATCGTAGCGTGGATTGAAAGTCCACGAGTTTTGTTACAAATAGTTTTTTTTATACTTTGTCCGGTAATTACTGTTGTTTTCCAAGATCCACGGTCTAACGACGAATCGTTTCGGATTTGAAAAGAAATTTGTTGAGAAGAGGACGATCGTTATTCCGAGAGCAGTTCTTGCACAATTCTATAAGAAGGCGAACAAGCGTGTTTGGTATTTTAGAAGAAAATTGTCTTCACGATTTTAGAAGAATTCAATTTGTACATAGAGAAGAATGCGTTTTATTCGATTTTAAGGAACATGTGAGGCAGAGATCGGTCGACACACCGCTTGTGGTACACGTGTGCGAGTTATTTTGCATGTTACACAATCTTTACTTTGATTTTGTCGAAAATTAAATAAGATAAGGAGACGTTACACGCTCGATTGAAGACGGAACAAGTGGACGAGAATATTTGTAGAGAAAACTGGAAGAGAGAGAAACAGGGAGGAGGAGGAAAAAGAATTTTTTAAAGGGTAGCTGAAGCGTTCTTATTTTTAGTCCTGCGCGACTGTGATCATTTTAGAGACGCCCACAAAAATAATAAAAAGAACCCGAACCAGCAATCAACTTTGTGATAGATCTGTGTAAAATGATATTGGGCAAGAATAATAGTGACGACTTTGTTGAATTGATCCTAATATACATACATAGATGGATACGTGTAAACATTGAATAGTGAAATAAACATTTGTCGCGTGCATACCAAGAAGTGACGAACACATTTACTACTTTCAAACAAAAGGAACGATGATAAAGACATTGTATTGTCCCCCTGATTTGTATAATACATAGTGTAGGTACGTTTAATAATAAATCGAAATATGACCTAGAATATTACATTCCCCATTCTGATTCTTAAATCATATAATGTGAAAATTTCGATTTTTATATATGTAGGAATTTCAAACTTTAAATACAGCTATTCCCGAAAGCTGCACAGAAGAAAATTTTATACGACATTTCTTGCAGGTAATAGCAGTGTCTACAATTTTTATCTGAAGCACTTGTCGATATTTTGAAAAAAATATGGAATATTTAATTATGCCGCCATGTTGTTGATTGTGCGTTCAGTGGCGACGCATGGAGCACGCACTGTCCACGCGGGAATCCGTCGTTTAGTAGTTTAACAATTATTTTAAACATACGATATTTATTATTAGCTTTATAATTAATTTTAATCAAACATTGAAATGTCATCGTTCACGTTTGGAACACCGACGACCACCGCCAACACGAGTTTTTCCTTCGGGCAAAAGTAAACACGCAATCTTGCATTTCTATCAAACTACGAATAACAAGTAGAAATAAATCAGTGATAAAGCAATAGATATTTATTTAAAAAAACTTATACAAGATCAAATAAATATATTTTCCATGCGGTTATATTATCAATAAATCGTGTTTAGACCTGCAACAGGTTTTAACCTAACAAGTACACCGTTTGGCTCGACGCCACCAGCTACGACGTTGAGTTTCGGAGCTACCGCGACTCCCGCGACGACAGCTGGTCTCAGTTTCGGATTCAGCAGTACTCCCGCATCAACGGCACAAACGCAGCCCAGCTTGTTGCTAGGCTCGAACACAACCGCGACGACGACTACAACAAGTTTATTTCCAGCTCCTACTACCTCTGCACCTTTGTTCGGTGGCCTCAACTTCGGCACACCAGCAGCCAGTACTGGTTTGACGTTCGGTTCTACGGCTGCGACTACTGCTGGAAATGTCAGCTTTGGTGCTCCAACTACTACGAGTACGTAGATATTAAATTAACAGCTTAGCTCTCCGACCTTCACTTAGCTTAAATCTTTATTCAAGGTTTAATTACTTATTCTGGATAAATTAGTAGCTATAAATGAACGCGTGTTTAATCTTTACAGCCTCCCTTTTCGGAGGTACTGGTTTACTTGGGTCGAAGCCAGCAGGCATGACTACGACCACCACGACTGCTACAAACAAAGGATTAGGAGGATTGGACATATCTCAAAGCAACAAAGGTCTCTCACAGGGAAACATTCATTCTGCTACGTCTAAAGAAATCATCTGGCCACCAGAATTGTTACAGACGATAGACAAATTCAAGTAATTATTATCCGAACCCTTGATTCTTGTTTCCCATATATATAGAATTCACATTTACTCTGCTGTTAACGCAGAGAGTTTGTAAAGGAGCAGAAGGTACTCTCCTCGGATATAGCCAGGGGGTCTCCGAGACCGTTGAACAGATGCGCGCAAGACACAGTGTCCCTGATGGAACTGTTGACTACTCTGGCCGGATCCGTTCAGCGGGATCGTGCAGCCGCTGACAAATTGAGGCAGGACACGGCGAGGGCGTTGCAGAATGCTGAGATAGCGCAGAGGACGCACGACACTCCGCCTGGATTGCAATACGAAAACACCGCGCCGTTATTATTCTTCATGGAATTGGTCGACAGCTTCGAACACGACTTGATGCTGTTCAGGTCTCAGATAGAAACCACCGAAAAACATATACAGACCATGATGACTCCTAAAACTCTAACGCCGCAAGAATTAACGATGGCGATGAATAAACTCCACGAATCGCTCGTAGCAGTCGCCGGGAAGTTGCAAGGCGTTCACTCGAAAGTGCAGCAACAGAAGGAACAATATTTAAATTTTCGAAAATACGTTTTAAAAGACAATACTAATGTGTTTGACGACATAAAGTCCGATGGGAAAACCTCGAGGAGCAGTATGCTAAAAGTTACCAGCGGCCCAACTCCATTTAGTCCAGGTGATTTAATAGTTAATAGAAATCTTCGAATTTGTGTTGGTTCTTCATTTAATTAGAACAATTCTTATTCTTTCTTCTTCTTAGGAAACAAATCTTTTCTCTCGTCGACAGTGATGAACTTCAACAGACCCGGTAGCTACGAGACACGGAATCCATTAGGTAAATCGAGATTGTAATAACGATTTAATACTGTCTGTTTGAAAATAATTTATTTTTAAAATGAACGTGCCTCTTGGTTTTAACTGTTTCCTTTGAACATTCTCTTCAGGTCTTGCGTGGATTTAGTACGAGGTAGATTTACTAACATATAACGTACTTTATTACTAACAGTAGAATCTTGATATGCGGGATACGACCAAATGAATGATATAATAACCAAACAGAAGATGATTCTAATAATAAATTTATTTTTGTATTCTGAATCGTCTTTAGTTCGGTATTCGCCATTCGCTGTCGACCGTACATATCTAAAATAGGAGAACTGAAGTAGCCGCGCTTATCTTTTCTGTAAATATGTACCTCAGTTTATTGTTTGATTTATATTTTTCTCGTTTTACCTTTCCAGGAAAAGAGTAAGGGATACTAGTTTAATTTATGAGGTATTGAACTTTTTCGTTTGATTCTTTCTGTGCTGTTTCGATCATACGGGGAAGGGACACTTGAGCATTTAATTTTTATTAATCACGCACAGAATAACCAATCTCATCAATCTCATTTTCAGTAGTTCATTTCGTAAAATATTTTTTAACGCTTGTCTCATTCTTTCGTGAATGCAAGGCCACTACATATTTGCAAGAGAACATTTCTTCATCGTCTTCTAAGCTTCTAAAAGAATGCTTGTGCATTGTATATATGCTTCTGCTTTTTCAATCAACTAAAGCGTTTTTATAACAGAATTCTTGATTACTACGGTTAGGTATAATCAATATTAACGTAGATAATGATACACATTAAATTCATTCGTTAGAAATATTCGAATTGGGTCGCATTAATAATTGGTATTGTACATACGAATTTCTTTGAGGGAAAAATTTCATTCCAAAGGCTTTTTGGTAGCTGGGTAGCAATATAGAGAACAGATACAAAATAATTCAGTGTGTAATGTTGTTACAGTTTGGGGAAATACGACACCGTCTGCTACTAATGTTAATCTAGGTTCATCGTTCAAACCGCCGACCGCGGGTCTCTCGTTTAACGCGCCGTCGAATTTCACCGCGCCATTGGCCACCAGTGAAACGAGCTCGAGTTTTCAACTACAAAAACCTCCGATCGGTAATAAAAGGGGGAAACATTGAACAAAACCATTCTGTGTTCGTGTTTTTTATTAGCATTTAATACTTTTATGATTTTTGTTAATCTTTTCTGGTCGAAAATAATTCAAATCATGTTTGTGTCATTTTCATTCAAATGTTATTATATATTTTTTTATCAATTTTTTCTGTTTATTCCTTCGATTATAAGACAGATTACCTATAATTATAGTGATAATAGTGAAACAGTATTGGGTTGGCCAAAAAGTGATGAAATTTCTAGATTAAAATAATGACCATACTTGTTAATTGCAAAAGTTCTGGCATTACTTATTAGCCAACACAAAATGGATATTTGGTATGTGTTTAGTCAATTTTATTGTTATAAAGTAATAGTATAAAAATTTTTCATTTATATAATATGTTTTGCTTATTTATAACTTATAACTGAAAACTTTTTATTAGAAGAACAACGTTATAAATGTTTGAATTAGTTACTTATCGTTATACTTTTTTACAATTTGCATATGCGAGAGTGCACGCTATTATTATCCGTTTAAACTCGTTCAGAAAAATACGAAACCTGTTGATCGTTATAATGCACCGACTTGTATAATGGGGATCAACAGTTTGAAGGCATCTTGAATATAAGAGCTCGCGTTCGAAGCCTATTTCAAAGACACAAATTAGTTTTTCAACGTGCAAGAAATATACGAAATAATAATTATTTTCTTACCTCCATGAAAATCGTCGTTATATTAGATTTAATATCCTCGGTATTGTCTGACGATTCGATTTTGTTTAAATATTTGCAATAATCGTTGGCCAACTGGCTAAGTCTTTTCGATAGAATATTCGTCAGCTGAACTAACGAGTCGGTTTCGTTAACTGTGCTCCTGTGTTCCTTTATTAAAAGCAGTTCCGCAGTCTTGTGAAACCTTTCCACGGAAAACGCTGTGAACTGTGCGAGAGTGGAAATAGCTTTCTCGTATAGCTCTCTGTCGTTCTGAGTAGGTGCAGCGATGTAGACCTTCGAATCCTCGACAATCTGGAACGAGAGTTTAATCTTGTACGATACGTTCGACGTACAGGCAAGCTGAGAATTAGAAATGCAAAATTACGCTGTGCAATTTGTCGTATGTGATGTTGATCCCGAGATCGCTACAAGCCTCTTGCAGTTTGAACTTCAGATCTTTCTCATCGCCCTCGTCTTCGTCCTCGTCTTCCTCGCCCAATTCACACAATTCTTCGACCTCCTCCAACATTTTCTGTACAGAATTCAATTCATCCCCGTCCAATTCAATTAAATGCTGTTGTATCTTTATGTTACTCTGTTTCGACAACATTTCGAGAGCTTCTAAATGCACTAATCCTTGATAATCGTCGAACAAACTCTCAAAGTGTACTTTCCTCAATTTCTGTTTCTCTTCAATTGTTTTCTCATTGGCTTCCGCCTTCTCTTTAGCTTCCCGAAGCACCTGAGATAAATTAGGCTTATCCGGCTCGTTCGAAAAGAAAGCTCTCTTTTTCTTTAACCCTGGATCGCCTTCTTGTAACACTTCCATAGTTTTCTTACCAATGGCTTCCAGAGTGTCCAGTCCACCACTCATGACTTTGCTTCCAGTGGATTCAACTAGTTTCGTTATCGAAGATACACCTGATATAAGGTTTCCAAACCCAAACGACGATTGCTCTTTGGGCTGCTCTTTATCTTCTGAAAATTAAGATGACAAGATTTCGAATATTGTTCTCCTACGAGTAGATAATACTGAAATTAGTATAATACCGCTGGTTGTCTTGTCCTCCTCTTTTTCCTCATTTTCAACAGGTTCATCTGGTAGTCCCATGGTCTCTTCCAAAAGCGTAAGTCCGTGCGACACATGGCTAGTTAAAGTAGAAACTCCAACACTCGCTGTGTTGATCAAAGTGCTCACATCCCAGTTACCCCAGCCCCATCCCACAGAAGAATTCTCGCCTTCCTGATCGGACTGCGATAATGTCTTCAATATCGGTTGCAGTTTCTCCTCTGCCAATTCCTCTGGTAGCGTAAGATCATCCTCCAATCCCTCCCAGCCTTCGGTCTTGAACACTTCCTTGAAAGTCTTGTCTGACTTCATCTCCTCGGGCATGTCAGACTCTGTTATCTCGTCCTTTATAGACAATTTATTAAGAAGACTCTCCTCAGATGTCAATACGTCCTTGTCAACGCGTGCTACGTTATCACTGGCGAGATTGGTGAAAATTCTCGTTCCCAGCTTCTTCGTGCCTATCTTTTTTTGCTTGCGATCCTTTTCGCTCTCGTTCGACTGAGACGTGTCGCACTGCTGCTCCATATTAGCATCATCACTAGCCTTCGACTCATCCTTATCTGACTTTACTTTTTTTTTATCGTCGCTAACGCTCAGATCTGTTACCCTTTCGCAACTTTTGACATCGACTTGCTTAGTTTTGCTGTTGTCACTGACCTTCGCAGCGGATCTCTGTTCTGATGCAGCCGTCACCGGCTGATATGATTCCCTGTTTTTGTAAATAGTATTGGTGTAAACTTGATGAGGAATGAATTCCGCGTCGTCGTCCGACTCGGAGTCGATTGTCGTCGGTTTCCACTGCTGCTGTCGATTGTTCCTCCTCGACGATTCCTGCTGGTTCATCTCCTCGTCGGCACTCTCGAAATCGTCGCTCTCGGACGTTGCCATGATGTCCGTTTTGAAAAACTACGATTTGCTAACGATTCGATGAACGCAGGAAACGTAGTCGACGACGCAAAAGGAGTCAGGTTAGGATCGTACTCACAATTATTGTAACCTGTTTGCAGTATTTAAACGAGTGTCGGGACCAGCTGACCATACGGCTGCATTACCTGCGCCATAGTTTTATCGAACGTTCACACGTGTCTTATCAATGCGTAGGTGTGTAAAAGAAAAGTATGTACACTTGTTTCTCTCGGTGAAAGAAAACTCGTGTGTACGTAAACTTCTGTCGATCGAGTTCAAGAGATCAGCAAAGTGTGCAGAGCAAATCTAATTAATTCTCTAATCAAGAATGGGTCGATACGTCAAATCCATTAAAAACGTGACTCTAACTTGGCTTTTTATGAATACCCGCACTCGTTATTACTATATAATCACGTGAGCGATATTGAAACGCTCACACTCGCTCTATCATCCGCTGCGATAGTAGATATAATTTGATTCGCAAATTAGAATTTAATTTCAATTTATACAGTAAGAATAGAATACGATTAAATGTAGAGTAATAGG